ATCTATGGTGTGAACTCCTGAGATTTAAGGGTTTATGTGTCACAGCAACTACCCTTACCTTAACTAAGGCATGTGATAACTCATTCCTGCATAGATCTCTAGCTACAAATTGTATCTTGTTCCCCCAAACCTAATTTTGACAGTAAAAATTTAAGATGACATATGGTCATGGTTGATGGTTGCTACTCATGTCTCTGAACTCTAGTCTCATAAGGACAAGGATCTCTTTGCTGAGACTTTCCCATTATAAAATCCTCCACAGCTAGACCACCTGCTAGGAAGCTGTAGGAAACATACCACAGCTCTCATTTCCTGCCGGGGGAGGATGAGATGGCTCCTGGTCATATTTAATGGGGCTCCTGGTTTGGTTCTTGTTATAGCTAAATTTTGTCACCCCCCCCAAAATTCATGTTGAAGTCCTAACTCCTAGAACCCCTAGTTCTAACCCCAATCTCAGTTAATAATGAGGTATTTTTTGATAAAGGAAAAGTCAAAATGCTGCAGGGTTTTTTTGTTTTTTTTTTTTTAAAGAGCAGAAATTTTTTCCTGAGCCTGAATAAGAATGCCTTGCAATTACCATGTCTGGAAATGAATCTGCCAGAGGCAACAGTTTTCTGGAATCTAACAATATCTTACAGAATTTGAGAACTACTGGAGTGACCAGTTTTGCCTCTTGATCTGGACATTCACATTCCACCGCACTTACGAAATTCATGCCACTCACATTTATGTTGGTTTCCAACCGTTGGACCAGTTAAGAGTTCAGGTTTCCTTTCCTTCTGAAAAAGCACTAGTTCTAAATTCTCTCTCTCTCTCTCTCTTCTTTTCTTTTCTTTTTTTTTTAGTGTTACTGGGACTTGAACTTAGGCCTAACCTTTGCTAGGCAGGTGCTCTACCAATTAGATACCGGTTCTGTCTAGCTGAAACTGTGTTCCTAGACTTGCATTTGCACCTACTAGAACTCTTTAGGGCTGGGGGATGTGGCTCAGTGGTAGAGCGCTTAGATTGCAAGCTTGAAGTATTGGACTGACCCCCAGCACCACAAAAACAACCCCCCCTCAAAAACAACAACAATAGGAAAGACTATTTTTGCTTTATTTCTACCTTGTTTATGATTTCATAGTTTAGAATTTCTGGAAATGGGGCCTATAAAGAGGTAATTAAGGTAAATTCAAGTCATAGGGGCATGCTTTACTTCAGTATGGCTGGTGTCTTTTCATGAAAAAGAGATTAGGATATAAGCATCCACAGAGGGAAGACCCTGTGAACAGGAGATGCCACTTACAAGCCAAGGAGAGACCTCAGAAGAAATCAACACCTTGAGGACAAGCTTCTAACCTCAGAATTGTGAGAAAACAAATTTTGATTGTGCCACTAGATCTGTGGTACTTTGCTAAGTCCACCATAGCAAACTAATATAGTCCTGAATGTGCCAGTCAGAACATTCCCTGAAATGGTACCCTGGGTCATTGTGTGTTAATGCAAATTACCACCAGCATCATTTCTTTTTGTGCTCAGTCCTAAAATGTAGTTTCTGATCATTTGTCTTCTTTGGCCATTTCAGAGTTGCTTTTCCCCATTCCCTCTTAGAGATAGAAAAGAAAAAGGATGAGGGCTAGTGGTGTAGTTCAAGTGGTAGATACCTGCCTAATAAAAGCAAGACTCTGAGTTCAAATCCCAGTACTGCCAAAAAAAAAAAAAGATGTAAAAGAAAGGAGGGCAGTACAGAGATAACGTGGGGAGGAGGAATGAGAGGGTATGCCTTCTTTTTCTTCTAATTCTGAGATGGGGTGGGACTCCTGTAGAGTGTACTCATCACTTACCATCAGGGCTGGACACCAAGGGTGAGTCTGGAAGAGACATTGAGTTTAGCTAATGAGGAGCCTGTAGGTCAGCTGTGTTGTTTTGGTTGCGAGTGGGCTCCCTACCCAGCATCTCTCCAATTATTCAGCTGTTACTATGGCAAATCCCACAGTGTGCCCTTGAGAGCATGCTCAGTGTGGCTGAGGTGGGGATCAGGTGGGGGTGGAGGGGACTTGTCTCTGTGGTAAAAGAACCATATAATTGAGTAAATAACTCTAGGAAGCTCCTCATGGAAAGGACATTCAGCAGTCATTCCTCAGATGGCCCTCAGCTGTACTGAAATTTGTCTTGCTCCAAGTTGACCATACTGGGGAGGATGTCAAAATGTCCCACTGAGTAACTGGGGTAAGAGGGTGTAATTGGTTATTTCATTTACAAAGACCCTGGTTAAAGTGAACTTTGTTTTCTCCATTGGTATATGTGGTTCATTTGCTAACATTGTCCCAAAATCTCAGCTCTTCTCAAAGATCTTTGATGGCTCTGACTCTGAAAGTGGCTGAGGCAGGATGTGAATGACTAATTGAAGCTTGGGCATCTAGACCATCCCCACTCCTACCTCCCTTTGTTTTGAGATGAGTCTTACTATGTTATCCAGGCTGGTCTCCAACTCATGGGCTTAAGCTGTCCTCTTGCCTCAGCTGGGGTTATAGGTATGTCACCACATCTGACTCCCGGCCCCCCACCTTTTGTGTGTGTGTGTGTGGCAGCACTGGAGCTTGAACTCAGGGCCTCACACTGCTAGGCAGGTACTCTACCACTTTAGCCATTCTCCCAGTCCTTTTTTGTTTTGATGGAATTGGAGTTTGAACTCAGGGCTTCACACTTGCAAAGCAGATGCTCTAGCACTTGAACCACACCTCCAGTCCTGTGTTGGGTATTTGTGAAACAGGGTCTTGAGAATTATTTGCTCAAGTTGGCTTCAAACCTTAATCCTCCTGATCTCTGCCTCCTAAGTAGTCAGGATTACAGGCATAAGCCACCAGTGCCCAGCTCCCCCTACCTTTTAAATCATTGTAAGCTGAATTTGAAGTCAGCCCAGCATGATGAAATAGCCTCAATTTTCATTAGTCTGAGCATTTTCTCCCGGCATTAATTTGGGAAAGCTCATTCCCTTTGCTCTCTTGCCTAGGAAAAGCCATTCTTTCAAAATGAAGTTCCTTCCTGAGGAATTCACCTCAGCTTGCATCTTCCTTCTGGCTTCTCTGACAGAAGCAAGCAGAGAATCATTGAAATCCCAAGTGAGAAGACCTGTGGCGTGCATTTGCCATTACACTGCGGATCAATGAGAAGGCAGCTGCAGTGCCCAAAGTGAGTGGGCCTAGAGGAGCTGTGCTCCGTACTCCAGTAAGTGATGATGGGAAACATCACAGTAGGTTGGACCTCAGTTCATGAAAAGCATCCCTGGCAGTATTCCTCTGTGGGATATTCTTACAGGCCAGGTAAGCAGAGGGAAAACACCACAGTTCCTGAGTGAATTGAGCATAGTATTCAAGGCTGTGCAAAACTCCTTTCCACACATTATCTTATTTCACCTTTCTAACAATCCTGTAAGGTTTTTTTGTTTGTTTGTCTTTTAATCTTAACTATCCCTCCTTTGAGTTGAGGAAGCTGCGGTGAGCAGTGGAGCTGGGAGTGGAACCCCCAAGCGTGCCTAACCCCAGAGCTGTCAGCATGCATTTGAAAACCTCACACCTGTGAATCTTCATGGACTCTACAGGATCCACAGTTTCTGTAGCTGTCAGTGTAGTCAAAGTGGTCATTAAGTTTAAGACTTTTCCCTCTTTAATATAAACTTAGACACTGTGCCTGAAACACAGCTCATTGAGTCAAGTCAATGGACTTACCATTTTTCTTGGACAACTGAAAAATATATTCTCCATCTAATATGCAGCCTGAAAATACACACACACACACACACACACACACACACACACACACACTTTTTCATTGCTTTTAAAGATCTAATAGGCTGGACTTGCTCTCCCCAAACACAAGTTCTCAGGAATGAGCGCTTTTTCTCAACTCTGGAGAGCATTTATTTGTCTTTCTCTGCTGCCAGCACATTCAGTGGTAGTAACTTGGGCCTTGGAGAGAGGCCAGCTGGTCTTGGGCACTGTTGGTGTATACCTTATAGGTAATATTTAGTGGTCTGAAATAATGTGTTAACATCCCGAGCATCTTCAAAGCAGAGGCTTTTGTCCAGAACTCTACCAAAGCATTTTGTGTTGGAAATGATTTATGATCATCTATATCTGTCTATCTATCTATCATCTACCTGTCTTTTTTGTGTGTGTGTGTGGTACTGGACGCAGGGCCTACACCTTGAGCCATTCCACCAGCCCTATTTTGTGATGGGCTTTTTCGAGATAGGGTCTCACAAACTGCCCAGGCTGGCTTCCAACGGCAATCCTCCTGATCTCTGCCTCCTGAATAGTAGGAGTATAGGTGTGAGCCACCGGTACCAGGCCATCTATCTTTTCTGCCTCTGGTGAAAGACATCAGCCGGCACCTCCCCCTGTTTAAAGACAAAAAATGGAGGTGGGAGGGCGGGGCACAGTCACACACTGTTATGAAGAGGCCAGATGGCAGCGAGGGAGCACTCCAGCAACATTCAGGAGTGTTTGTGGAGGTGGCTACTTCAAGGGCAGATAGGTGTTCGAATCCAGATCCTAATCAGGGCTTTCCAACCTGGGGTGAGTCCAGGTGAAGACCTGCCACTGGAGAGCCTGGCCAGGCTCCTGTAGGGGCCCGGTGCGGCGGAGTTCCCAGGACCAGATTTGGATGCATTTGGAGAGAAGCGATGAGAGTGGAAAGTGTAGCTTGGTAGCTAAAGGAGGGCTGGATAGGAGCTCACCCCAACTCCGCCACTCCGGGTGTCCGCGGAAAGACGCAAACGTCTCTCACCCCACCCTCCCTGGTCCCGCGGTGGGAGGGGAGTTGGGACCCCGCTGGGTCCCCCCCGCTCTCGGCTGCGCGCTCCCCGCCTTCTTCACGGGCAGCGGCGGCGGCGGCGCAGCGGGAAGGGGAAGGGGCGGGCTGGGGCCGCGGACGCTTTCTCCTCCCACCGCCCGCACGAGCCCAGCGGGCGCCGCGCTCCCGCCGCAGCCGCACTTCCCCGCGCAGAGCGAGCCGGCGAGGCCAGCGCGGGGGCCCGGCCCGCCTTCCTTCTCGCCGCCCGCCGCGTCCCCGGGCGGGCGCGGGCCGCGATGGCAGCGGCTGAGCGGGGCTGAGCTCGTAGCCTCCCGCAGTCCCCGGACCCCGGAGCCCCAGCCATGGCGAAGCAGTACGATGTGCTGTTCCGGCTGCTGCTGATCGGGGACTCCGGGTTGGCAAGACCTGCCTGCTGTGCCGCTTCACCGACAACGAGTTCCACTCCTCGCACATCTCCACCATCGGTAAGGGGCGGTGGCCTAGGGCCGCCCCACGTTCCCTGCCTGGTGGCCCCTTCCCCTGCCTCCCGGTCCCCAGCCCGCGAAGGATTGTACGCCTCTCTGGCTAGGGGCGGTGGCGAGGGAGGCCAGGGCGAGGGAACAAGTCCAGGGGTGAGCGGGCAGCCGGCAGAGGACCTCAGCCTCGGTTCTCGTTGGTGAGGGGTCCTTGCTGCCTGCCGTCCCGGACTCGGGGTGGGATTTCTGGCCTCTGACTGTGGAGCCTTAACCATCCACGCTAAGAAAACAGGGCGGGTGTAGGCTGGGGTACTCTGAGCAGGAGCAGTGAGAAGCCTAGCCAGTGAAGTGACATTCCCACAACCCCAAATGAAAAGGGGAGGGAAAAAGGTTAGGATGAGGAACTAGTCACTGAGTACCCTTAGTTCAGGGCTGACCCTATGTGAAACCAGGATGGGAAGAAGGAAGACAGGGATTGGTCAAAGGGATTGAGTTTCCAGGGCACAGTTTGAAGGTAAGTCACAAGGTGGGACACCTGGAGCAGGATATCCACTAGGTGGGAAACCATAATGCAAGAGAAGCAGTTGTTCTGAAGGAGGCCAAGGAGGATGGAGGAAGGTCAGGAATGCTCATGCAGACAAGGGCTCACAAGGCAGTCAGGACCCACCTTAGATTATCATCTGGTTGTGCTGGAGCCTGTGGTTAAAGGACAAGCCTAGTGGCATCCCTGACAAGGCTGTGAGGGTCACCATTTTGGAAGTGAGTCTGTGGCCTTTCCTTTGAGAGCCTTCCCCGCATAGGCCCTGAAAGACCCTCTCCTCTGAGAGATCTGAACTGAGTGCATTCCACCCATACCTACAGGTTCTGCTCTTGTAGGTTCTATACCTTAAGGTTCCTGGAGCAGCATCCTCACTGCCCAGGCCCCTGGGAGAAACACCCGATGGTTGCAGGTGATGGTCATCCAATTGAAATGCGCTTTTGGAAGCCTCTAATGCCTTCCAGGAGGGCTCCAGCTCTCTGCTTCCTCTTGAGGATTCCTTTGGGGGGAAATCCTCCCCCAATACACATTCCTTGCCAAGAGAGAAGAGGGAATGGATAGATGCAGCCAGGAGGATCAGAGCTTTGTGGTTAAGAGACAGGTATTGTTGTCAGACATACCTGGAGACCTCACTTTGGGGCAATGTGGCCTTGACTGTCACTTAAGGTTCTGAGCTTTAGTTTCTCATCTGTAGAATGTATCTAATAATGGTAGAACCCTGAAGTGTTACAAGGAAGAAATGAGATGATGTGTGTAAAGCACTCAGCGCAAGTGGTAAAGCTGGCCAGATGCTGATTAGAATCTTACTGTAGTGTTATCATCACCCAAATTTTTTTTTAAACAATTTTTATTGGTAGGTGGTACAAGTGCAAAATAACAACAAATCCAAAGGAATGGAAAAGGCGGTGGTGGTGTGGCTCCCCTTCTCATGTGAGAATCCTATAACTAAGCCAGTGGGGTAGGTGTATTTGACTGTGGCACATTTAGGCCCAGCACCCTCTATCACAAGCTCCCAGGCAGCAGGGCTCCTCACAACACAAGAGAAGGGGTGTCACACTGGGAGGGGGTGTGGGCTGCAACCCACCCTGGCTACTTGGCACCTTTCCTCTCCACACCTTGACCCCTCAAAAGGAAGACTGCCTCACAACTTGGGGTACAGGTTTCAGGAGATATCACCAAACTCTTAAGGTCTCTTTTTCTGTTTGCTTCGCTCTCTTCAAGGAACTTAGGATCAGGGAATAGAAATGGTCCATATTTCTCTGGGGAACTGTAAGGGCAGTTCCTAAGAGATTCAAGAGCTTGGGCTGGGCCACTGTTTGGATGAGAGACATTTTAGAGAGATGGGAAAGGAATAGTCACTGAGACTTTGTTGAGAGGGAGGGCTTGGAGAAGAGGGAGGTGTTGGGGAAAGATATGGAAGTGAACCAGGGAGTGGCTGAGGAGCCAGATGGTGTATGAGGGCAGCTTGCAGGCTTGGGGACAAAGGGCAGCAAGTTACCATTTACTGAAACTCAAAGTGGCTATTTTTGACATGGGCCTGGTGCCAGGAGCTATGGCGCTATCTACTGAGAACTGTGGGCTGCGTGGGGGTGCCTGGATTTTGCCTAAAGAGCAGTTTAGACCCTGGTGTCCTGTCCACATTCCAAGTCCTAGGAGTGACCTGGGCTTTTCCTTTGAGGGCTTTAATGATTCCCTCATTTCAGAAACTCTTGCAACTCCTGTTTAGTGTTGTAGGGAGTTAGTCCTCCTATTCCTAAAATAAGATGGCACTGCTGAGGCTGTGCTTTCCTTAAAAAAGAATCATCCCTTGCCCCACATCTCTAATTCCCCAACTCCTGCCTCTTCACTATGTTATCTCCGTTCTTATACATCTTCCTGCTGATAGGTGAACCTAGATGAACACTAGATAGACTAAGGGACTTCCTCAGAAACCCTCCAGGGCAGACCACTTTGTGGGGAGAGGTGAATAAGTGAGCTGGGCAGGTGTCTTTGTAGCACCCTCTCCCCTTGCTCCCAAGGTGCTTGGTTTGTTGGCCTAAAACCTGTTCCCAAAGTTCTTTCTCTGCCATCATCCCACAGGATGCAAGGACTCCTTAGGAGTTTGGATTCCATGGAGGAGTAAGAAACCTGCCTTTCTGTACACCAGCTTTTTAAAATCTGCCCCAGTGGGTTTCTTAAATGCTTTCTTATTTAAAGCTTACTAAGGACTTGTGATTCTTCCCATCTTGGCTGTGTTTTTCAGCATTAGCTAAAACTGAAGGGAAAGAGTTGGACAGTCAAGAGAAGCTTTTTCCTTAGGTGACTTGGAAAGTTTCCCAAGGAAGGGTCAGCCAAGAGACAAATCGAGGAGCCAAGGAAATGGGGGCTACCAGGTCAGATTCATTAATTTATCCATTAAAAAAGTATGTGTCCTGTATGCTAGCCTTGGGAAATTCCAAGATGAATAATACAGTTACTACTCTCAAGCTGTGCCCATGCTGAGCATTGATCTAGGTCTTTCCTGGTCTTCTTATTTATTTATTTAAATTTTGTGAATGGGGAAAATAAGGTAATCCAGCAATTACTGCCAAGACAAGATTTCAGATTCTTGGCTCATGCTGATACCATCTAAGCTGGCTCTTATGTGATGTGCAGTATACTCTACTTACTATAAGACTCTGACATTTCATAAAAGAGCCTGCCAGGGAGCAGTGAGAAGAACTCCCAGGTAGACTGAGGCACTGACCGTTCCTTCCCCTATTCTTCTTGTCTCTCCTGCAGCTAACTGGCATCCCCCCTTCCCATGCAGCTGTGTTCCCGGATGGGGCTTTGGTACAGAGAGGGACAGTCAGAGCCTTAGTGTTCTCTCCCTACAGCTATTTCCTGACAAAACTATCTCATCTGTTAAAGTAATTGAGCACTCCTACAAAGCATCATGGTAGACATTTGAGAGACATGTTGCAATCCACTTTTTCCTGCCTAGGGAAGCCTATAATCTAATTGGAGAAGCAAGATACAGGCAAAAAAGAGCTATGGCCAAAATGAGATAATATTTCTGAACATACCTGATAAGGTACTCTTCAGTTGTAATCATACCACTATTCTTAGTGAAGGTCTCACAGTCCTTGTCCATCTGAGGTGTGCCATGAGGCAGCCAGAGAATGTGATGGGCCCAGTGAGTGCTATTGCTAATGAGGCTAGAGAAGGAGAGGCCCCTGTGGATTCCAACATATAAGGGAAGGCTGAAACTAGGCGTTGAAGTGTGGGCTGCCTGTGGGTTGGTTCCTGCAGTGAAGGGAGCAGATGGAGCAACGTGAGCAGAGATAAAAGAGGTGCGAAGTGAGTGGGTGTCCATGAGACTGGGGGCAGTCTGGATGCAGCAGAAAGGGGTTTTTAGGAAGAGAAAGAACATTTCTGTTTATCTCTCTGTCTCCCAAACTATAAGTGCTCTGAGGGTGACATCAAGTCATATGCCTCTTTGTTTTCATAGGCCCTAATACAGAGATAGGCACTATCTTAACATATGTTAAATTATTATCAGTTGGCATCAGAGGCCTGGCTAAGGAGGCGAGGTTTGAGCCTAGCAATGGGAGAAAGGTTTTTGTGCAGGGTACTCGTGATGCTAGCTGGAAGATAGGGTTAAGACTTGAAGTAGGGGCGTCCAGTCAGAGCTGTGCTGGTGTCTCGCCTCCACCAGTGGCCATGCACCAACTTCCACACAATCACCTGCTTTGCTTTCCCCCTATAAGAGGGGAAAGGCTCAAACCAATCAACCTGGCAACTTCTGAGTGTCATGTGATCTGTGTTCTGGTCAGGCAGGGAGGTGTCCTACAGGGACCTTTGACAACCTTTCTTCATGGTGGCATGAAGTGGGATATAAGCCACTAATGCAAGCTGAGGGGCCTGCCCTGGAGTTGGTTTTCTCCCTCCAGTCCTTGGTCTTCCTGTCTCTGGGCCTTTGTGTGAAAAGCCACCCTCAGGCTCCAGTTGGACTGGTTGGGCAGCTGTGGCTTTTGAGGCTACTTTCCAGGCTGTGTGTACTGCTGCAGTCACCTTCCTCAGGAAGTTCTGCTGGAACTGAATTTGGCTGGCAGTGTGTGGCAGGGGCTTGTGGTGACAGAGGGCCAGGGTCAGATCTGAACCTGGAACTGAGTGACCTAACAGACGTTGGAACAAATGCTTGGGCACCGTGGTCCTGGCAGTGACCTGCAAGTTCCTAGGTTGAGGAGCTGGTACAAAGGCAGTGTGACACTGTGGGAGGGTCAGGGCCATAGAGGTGTACTCCTCCACTACATTGGCAGCTTTTAGCAGCCCTGGGGCTGACTGAGGTTGCTTCTTCCTGCTCTGTTTCCCAAGCCCTGAAGCAGAGGGAAGGAGCAATGAGTGAAATGGAAAGAGCCTGGAGAGACACACACATTCTCCATGGCCTTACTGGCCCTGTGTCCTTCCAGTACTTATTTAACATCTTTGTGCTTATTTCTACGCCTCTTAA